GCTTTGAAATATTGTAGATGATTCCAGCCAACAACATGCGATGTCAAAGACTTTCGACGCAGACCCACACACACACACACAGAGTTCCATTTTTGGCAAGCAGTCGTTACTATCTCCTCGTTCCTTTCACAGAACGTGCCGGCATTTTTGGATCCCAGATCCCAAAGCCTTTATAAAGCGGGGCTATGCGCATAGCGAAAGTAAAGCTTGTTGCTGGCCCGCTCCACCTCTCTGGATGTGCGTCGTGGCCAGTCGCAGTTGTTAGGTTTTGCGGGGAGTGATGAGATAGTTATCTTACGAGGCCAGCCATGGATACCCATTTAGAGTCGCTCCGCGCTACCTATTTCCCGTCTTGTTGATCCTGGGGTGTACAAGCCTGCGTGTGGGTTGCGAACATGCGAGACCCAATCCCGAAGCCGTTTGCACGGGGTAGATGTGGTAGCCACTCCTTTTGAAACTACGTATTTTTTTGATTGTGCTTTCCCTTGACGCCCTACTTGCTTCAAGGCCCTATTGCCCTAACAGAATCATTTGTTCAGCTTTGCAGAAGCTTCCTTCTGAACCTTTCCAGGGGGCGGGTAACTTCTTGGCCAAAGGGCTATTTGTAGCCGTACAAGCCTTTGTGGGTTTGCGCACAGAACGAGCAGACTAGAACGCCCCTCGTGGTAGCTGAATGCCAATGCCACACGTTCTGGGCAGCTGAAATCGCGACCTCAGCAAGTGTTGGTTTGCGACCATGTTCTTTAAAGAGAAAGAGAAGGAGAAAGAGACAGAGAAAGAGAGAAAGATGAGAACAAAAGAAAGAGGAAGATGGAAAAAAGAGAGTGAAGAAGATGAAGGCACAACTCGCGGTGAGGCGGTGAGGCCTTGCGTGAGATAGAGCGCCTGTCCGGGGCTGGCATCACCGTGGCGGAGGCGGAGTTTGGGGTTCCGGCAGTGGTTCTAAAGTTCCGCGAGCTTTCAAACTTAGTTTGGTTTCGTTTGGGCTGATCTATGCGGCACCCCGGAAAAATGGGAGCACATAACCACTGGTGCAAAAACACGTGCCTTTCAAAGGGGGCGCGCAAAAGGAACTCTCGGCTCGTGGTTTGCCTTGAATTGTGTTACGCCAGGGAAAGGGCGGGGTCAGGTTCCTATGCTTGGTGCCTTGGCGGGTTCACGCTTTTTGTGCGCGGCAATTCGACTTCCTCAAGGGATAATTATAGCTTGGAAGTCGGTTTTGAAGAGGCGTCACTTCTACCTGTCTCATTCTACGATTTTGTGAAGCCTTTTCAGGGACCCTTCCGCTGGAAGTGGCTGATGTATTTTGGTCCTCAAAGGCACTTGTGCCAGTTTCCTTGGGCTTGACTTGTTTTGACGCATCCCCCTATCCTCAAATCACACAAAGTAACAAGCTCAGCTAGGGGTAAACCAGGTTTCGCACATGAAGGTGCCTTAGCTGAGCATTGCTTATCTCCAGTTGTAACAATTTGTATGAAGCCGGTGTGACTTAGTTGTGAGAGAGAGCGAGAGAAAGAAGGGTCAGCGCCCTGAACGCTTCAAACAAACAGGAGCGACTATTTTGACTGCATTTTAGCGACTCATCCAGCAGTCTGTAATTCTTGCGCAACCTATGCAAACAGTGCAATACCGTTCATAGCTTTTGACACGTTTGCTCTCAAGGAACACAGTCTCTTCCTGCAAGCCGCGCGGCCATGAAAATACATTTGCGTCAGGACGGGGATTTCCCACGACCACCTTAAGACGGTTTCTTTTGGATAGGCATGGGCAACTCCACGGACGAGCCGGCAGCTGGAATTGCGGCACCAGCAAAATCACGCCGCTGCTGCTCTGTGTGTGCCCAAACAGCCACAGGGATTTGAAAGAGTCAACACTCAGACCTGACTTGACCGCGCTGCCTGCACGAGCTAATCTGCACGTGCTCATGGCTTTGAACATGGGGAAGAGGCCAGAGTTTCTAAGACCGAGTTTCGCACTCAAAGATTCTACATGCGTGTGGCGTGGAGCGACGGGCCCTGTTGATTGATGCCTCTCGCTTTTGCGCAGTGTTCTGTGGATGCGCTTGAATGTTGGTTCTCCCATTTCGAGAGCGCCGCGTTTGGGCAGCGTTGGCGGGACGCGCTTGAGCGTGAGTTCTTATCATTCGGCAGGACTGAGCGGATGCGCTTGAACGTGGATCCGTATTGAATTATTATTTGGCAGGAGTTCTGCGCTGTGCTGAGCGGATGCGCTTGAACTTGGCTCCTTCTGACGGATGCCTGGGATAGAAAAGCAAACGACTCGAGAATATCCACAATTCCCAAAATATCCAAGGAAGCCCTATGCAGCTGCTTGGCACCTTTGTTGTTCGCTGGTTAGAGGTGAGAGGGAAGCACACACACACACACACACACGTTCAATCGCAAATTTAAATGATAAATATGCAAGCGAACACATTCCAATATTTTGTTGGACACATGAGCAACGATCCAGATTGTGAAGTCACCGTATGACATAGCTAAACGGTTGGCTTATTCACCAAGTACCCATAGTTGTGTTGCTTGCGTTTTCCGAGTTGGTGCCCAAATCTCAAGAAGATTGCCAAGCGCTTTTTTCTTTGGTTCTATTGTTTGATCACGGTTGCCATTTCGTTGCCCAAAAGCATAGTGACATGTTGACAAGGAACGAACAAGTACCATAGGTTTTGAGCGGAGTTTTCTGAATGCACATCATGATCCCTGGAAAGAATGGGGAAGTGCGGCAACAATATTGCAACGGTTGGTTGTACCATGGTCCTAAAACCAAGGGTAAGGGGTACCCTTTGCAGAAAGCATTTATGACACTTGGCAAACCAAGCTCGGGCCCATGATATTTTCGCTTGAAATTCCCTCAGCTCAGGTTTCTGGGACTGTTGCGCATTTCTGGGTCAATGCTTCAAGGCCAGGTACCTTGAGATTGCCTTTTTTTTGGCGTTGTGTTGACAGGAAACCGGGGCCTGCTTTCATCTCCCTCGTGGCGATAAACCCATATCATTGTTATCATACATTAATACTTATTGGCATGCGCAGTGGGTGGCATATCCATACATGCTGTATCCACAGTCAAGTTTGACCTTGCGTCGAAATTCATGACCCGGAGCCCCAAGCCTTCGCGGTGCTTCAGCACATGCCACGCACAGCTATCCGTTTGAACAGGAAATGGGAGAGGAACAACGTTCCACTTTCCCTTTGGAAGCCGAGCTATTGTATTTGAGGTAGGGTCCAAGCTGGTTTAACGGTTTCCACTACCAATCCAAGGACATGCCCTACAAATGCAGAAAGGGCGGGGATTGGGCTAAGCCATGCAAATGATGCTTAGTTGACATTCCGATCCAGATCGAGCGTGAGCTTGGCTCCAAGGGTAGGCTTTCTACCATTCTATGACAGTTTGCTTCCAGCATTGTTTGTAAAATTAACATAGAAGATGATCTTTTTCGTAAAGCACATATATATTCATATGTATAACATAAATATAAATATGCTCGCCCCCCCCCCCCCCCATGATCCACGCCCAGCAGGTCCAACCATCTGCTATGCAGGGCCAACCTTCTGCTTGTCCAAGCAGGTCCAACCATCTGCTATGCAGGGCCAACCTTCTGCTTGTCCAACCATCTGAGATGCAGGGCCAATCTGGCAGGAGCAACTGTCATGCCTTACATGCAGCACATGCACCTGGAAAGCAAAAGCAGCATACTGCAGTTTTTGGCTGGCCTAGCAAATTGTTAGATCATTCGCTTCGGCAGACTCACTTATGTCTGCCACTGCCTTTCATGGAGTACTTCCCTGCAAAGTTTTGTGGGCCCTCCAGCAATGGAGCCATACCCCGGGGCCAAGTGCCCCCTCTGGGCCTGCTTCATGGCCCACGAAGGTCTGTCAACTTCCCAACGGCTCCTTGGCCTGGTGTTCGATGGTCCCTCGCGCCTTACAACTTGCAGCTCTTCATTGTGCCCAAAGGCTCCAACAAGCACGAAGTTCGTGGACGGCACCAGGGTCCTGCACAGCGCAATTTTGCGGATGTGCCATGGCCAGGCTCTCCAGGTCGACCTTCAGGGCAAGTTCAGGGAAGGAGGCCGTGCTCTACAGTACATGCTGGAGGGCTTAGGCGGCTTCCAAGTCCGTCCCCGCCGGCAGCTCCAACAAGCAGCCCGATATCAGGAAGGGGTTTGACTTCATTCGTGAGCAGGGGCCGGAGGAGAACTCCAAGGGTCAGTTCACCACTTGGACAGAAGAACAGGTGAACGACCCATTGCAATGGCCCTTTGTACAAATGGGACAAGGGGACCATCAAGGAGTTCTTGCGGGTGCTCGCAGATCAAGGCTCCCAAGCGAACACCATCAACGACTGGCCTCTGACACTGAAAAGTCTGACTCCCTGGGCCCTGAACATTGTCATTGCCCCGATCCTGCCCCACGTGCTGTCACATGCTGTGGTCTGGATTGGTAAATCCCATGTGGGGAAGAGCCCGGTCTCCTACGCCCTGTCCTCCGTGGTCTCGGCATACTGGTTGATTCAGGAAGACAAGAACGAGTCCCCGAGCTTCCAGACGGCCAATCATCTGGATTATTTCCGCAAGGAGAAGGGCCGCAAGACGAAGCCCCGGGTCTTTGACGACGGGAATCTCAACCTCGAACACCCCGCTGCAGTCAAAGCCGTCACGGAGGTGGACGGAGTTGATCGGAAAACCATGGCCCGATACAACGCATCCTCATACGAGAAAAATCAGCTGTGCCAGATTTGCAGCAATCCTTACGACCGCACGGTCGAGCCGCCCATGAGCCCACATGCGACCTCCGACACTGTGCCATTTGACATCTTCTTCAAGCTTGTTCGTCCTTCCTCCCACAAGGAATTCGATGAGGAGGACTTGATGGGAGTCTTCAAGCGCAGTGTCTTTGTGGTCTTCGCGGAGGTTGGCATCTACATTCGCTTGCCTGGCACAAAGCGAGACCCCGTCAAGCGCCACGCGTGGCCGGAGGATGATGTTGGCATGATCTCGCCAGCGGCGCGCCCAACCTTGGCTGCCTACAAGAAGGGCAACTTCACCAGACCCCCTGCCAGCTATGACCAAGACCTGCAATGGAGTTTGAATCTGTTGCAGGCAGGGCTTGATGGGGAGGACGTACCCTGTGCCCCGCCACAAAAAGAACAGAGCTCTTTCTGGACGGAAATACATCGAGGAGAGGCGGCCTACCCTGGCTGGGATTGATGGCAAGACCAAGTACTATCTCAATGAGGAGCCTGAGTCTGCAACAGAGCTTCCTGCGAAAAGGTTGCGCACTGTGAAATCCTCTGAAGCTTTGCTCTTAAGCAAAGTAGAACTCAAGACGGAGGAAGCTAAGCCCAAGACGGAGATGCCTGAGGAGCCCAAGATGAAAGTGCCTGAAACAGCAAAGAGTGAGGACTACTTGGAGAAGCCCAAGGTCACCATCAGGAAAGAGCCTTCTGGGACCCCATCGTTTTCTTTGAAGAGCTCAAAGCTGCCTCTCGTCATCAACCTCTCGGATTCGTCTGATGCGCCGGAAGGCAAGGTTCCTGAGGAGCCAAGTGTCCAGGTCAAGTTTTCCGCTGCGTCTCCTGAGGAAAAACAAATGGACACGATCACAGAGCCGGAGATCTTTGATCCCATGTCGAAAACGAAGCTTAGCCTTCTTTGTCGCAAGAGTTGGCCATGGAAGTGCAGAAGGTGATTGGCGGCGAGGAGATGGATGTGGTCGAGGATTGAGATACCGCCCTAGAGATGCCTGACTGCCTGAGCTAAGGCTAGTTTTGATTGTAGTCTGTAGTGGGTGACACAAAACTATAAGCCGTCTCATGACAAATGCAAGGCCTTCACAAAATGCGTTCAGGCAAAAAAAGAAGGGTGTGCAGCATATGCATACATATGACCTCATGAGGAATGCTGGTCAGGTGTTATTTGGGGATGACTCCATGACACGAGTCTGTTGCTCAACAGCTATCCTGTGACTGACTCCTTTCTGCCCTAATGCCGAAGGGGGTGATGAAAGCCATGAAGAAGAAGCCTGTCTTCCCAGACCCGAAGCGAGGCAAGCGTAGGGTCCAGAGGAGGCCTGCCGCGAACAAGAAATACACACCTGTGGCCAGGCCATCGCGCTCGATGGGGCCGATCCATTCAGGAGTGGATGTCGTTATCGCCTTCCAAGCTCTTGCAGAAGCTTCTCAAAGGACAAGATCTTGTCGAGCTGGAAAGGCAAACGCTGCCCCGTTGTGGTAAAGGCGTCATGGGCCATCGCTACTGCCACAAACTTCTACAGCCACACGACTTTCATCCTGTCTTCTTCATGTCATCGGGCAAGTCATCTACACCTCTCTCCAAGCAAGAGGCCGCCCTGTATTGCGCAGTGGCTGGCGTGTCATGCCAGTCGGCTCACCTGGTCCTAGATATGGACCACAAGCCAGTGGAGCGCATCTATGCCAGGGCAGACTATGTCACTAAGCAAGAAAGGAACATCACCTACGGTGGCGCTTTGCAGGACACCGAGGTCGATGAGGTCGACATCGGGAAGCTCACAGATGAGACAATCGAGCACCAGCACAACACCACATGGGAGCAGTGGGGCGAACGAGGGCGACCTTCATCCACCGTTTAAACCCGAAGAAGACCAAAAAAAGAGCTCCTGGCCCTGGACCCATCAGGAAGGTTGACTGGATGCCGATCGCGAAGAAGCACTTGGCTAACCGGAAGGTCATCCTTCACTCTGATGGAGCCCGCGCCTACAAGGTGACGTTGCCTGGGGTTCACCACTGCAACGTGGTTCATCAGAAGAAGAAGCAGACGGTCAAGAACAAGGCTCGATAATAATATGTATGACTTTTCTAGAAATTCTCTTTGCCTGACATCTTCGTGTCTTGAATAAAAACTGTCCTGTCAGGTTGCCTGGGTCCGGCCTCACTATACCAAGGTGTACCACCTGAAGCTTCCTGATGGCACTTCCTTTTCTGTAAAGAGCGGCACCCAGATCATAGATCGATTCTGGGGAACGCTACGGGCAAAGCTGAAGACTAATGCCCGTGTGCCCGGAAGCCAGGCCCTCACACGTAAGATCCGCTCTGCGCAGTGGGAGTATTGGCACATGCAGTCTAACTTGTGGACAGCAACTGGACAGATGCTGCGGGCACTGCATGCCGAGAAGTGATTGCAGATTTCCAGACGAGCTGCGATGGATGGAAAAAAAAGGCTTCTCAACACTGTCAGCTTCTGGTGTGCAAAATGCTGTAAGGTCTCTATTTTGAGGCTTTAGAAGCCCAAAAAAAAGAGACCTGCATTTTTCATGCTCAGAAGCAAAAAATGCTGTAAGGTCTTTATTTTTGATGCCTTGGAAGCTCAAAAAATAGAGACCTTACAGCATTTTCTGCTTCTGAGCACCAAAAATGCTGTAAGGTCTCTATTTTTTGGGCTTCCAAGGCCTCAAAATAGAGACCTTACAGCATTTTTGGTGCTCAGAAGCAGAAAATGCTGCCAGGTCGCTATTTTTTGAGATAGAGACCTTACAGCATTTTCTGCTTCTGAGCACCGTAAGGTCTCTATTTTTTGCTTCCTGAGCTTCCAAAATACTGTAAGGTCTCTAAAATCGCTAAAAACGCAATCCTGGACAGGTCTCCAGGCCTCAAGCCAGGATTGCGTTTTTAGTGATTTTAGAGACCTTACAGTATTTTGGAAGCTCAGGAAGCAAAAAAATAGACGCCTTACAGCATTTTAGGCATCCAAGAGCAGAAAATGCTGTAAGGTCATTTTTGAGGCCTTGGAAGCTCAAAAAGTAGAGACCTTACAGCATTTTCTGCTTCTGAGCACCATTTTTTTGGTTTCCAAGGCCTCAAAAATAGTTTTCTGCTCTTGGATGCCTAAAATAAGGCCTCCATTGGAAGCTGAAAAAATAGAGGCCTCTCAGCACTGGCTGCAGGTCCTAAATGTCACAGCTTCTTCATCAGCACTTCAAGCTTGCATCCAGTCTCAAAACTATCTCACTCTGAAGGCCAACATTGGATTCATCCTTCAAATGTAGGAAACCATCTGCTGAACCGACCCATTTCATCTGGAGATGATATCCTTCAAAGAATCTGGTCAGAATCTGATATGCCTTTGTATAACAAAAAACAAGGAAAAACGTGTTTTTCCTGCATTTTTGGTATGTTTTCTAGGTTGCAACATGGGGGTGTGGATCATGGGGGGTGGGTGACCATATATATATATATATATACACATACATGTGTTACTTCTAAATTTTAAATGGTATTTAGACATGTTTCTCCTTGGCTTACTGTCTTTTGAACTTGCGCGTGGCACCAGGCTGTGGACGGCAGGTGCCCAGTGAAGATCCGGGGCAAGACGGCCGGGTACGGTTCAACCGACTTGATTCGAGTCGGTTTGACTGTTCGAGTGCGGGTCGTTTTCGGTGTCGGGCTGGGAATGACCGGCGTGGTTCAATGACGAACTACCAGGCTTGTTGGGGTCTTCGGGTTCTCAACAAATGTCATGCCCTTCACAAAAGCTCCTTGCTACCCTTGTTGGAAAGAGAGGGTACTTTTTTGAGAATCCGTGGAGCTCCCGAACAGCTCTCCCATGCCAACAGAAATATGCGCTTAGCAAAGGCGCTTTGGCCATTTCCTGGGCAAGGAAAGTGGTTTGGATTGAGAGCAGGGCGCGAGGGTGAAACCTGGTGAAGGCAGCATGTTTTGCGTTCAGGCATGACACTATGAAATGGGTTCCTGATAAAGGGTTCCTTACACAGGATTCTTTAACAATAATTTATTGTAAGGGTTTGTTCATAATCGTTTTTTTTTCCCCCCCATTTTTTTTTCGGGGATACCTTTGTTTCTTTAAAGCAGAGACAGAAAAACCAATCGTCAAAGTGCAAATTAGGACGGATTCTTTATGAAGAATTCCTTATGCAGGATTCACCTGCAAAGGATGGTGTTATTGGGACCCCTTTCAATCAATTCCTTACACAAGACTTTACATAACAAGTCCTTATCTAGGATTGCTCATACGGATTCGCTATTGTGGATTGCTTATAACGGATTCCTTCTGAAGGATTCTTTATAAAGGATTGCTTGTAAAAGGCTATTTACAAAGGAATCTCTACAAAGCCTTCTAAAGGAATCCTGAAAATTAAGAATCCTTCTAAAGGAATCCTTCTAAAGGAATCCTGAAACAGGACTACCTAAAAGGATTCCTTGTAAAGGATGTCTTATCAAGGATTGTTTTGAAGCATTCCTGACAAAGGATTTGTTGTAACATATTCTGGCCCAAGGATTCTCTATACAAGATTTCTTGAAAGGGATTCAATAAAGGCTTCCTCAAACAAGGATTCCTCAAACAAGGATTCTCATCACGGATTGCGCCTGGCAAAACTCCTAGTCTGAATTCCTTTTAAAGGCTTTCTCACAGGCTCGGGGCACATGCAGTCTATTTTGTTTTTTGTTGTTGTTTTTTTTTTGGGGGGAAAGTCGAGGTTTTTAGCATTTTACTTGCGGAGTGCAGATCATTGGGCAAGTTTTCTTTAAAGGTGCGACAAATAGTTCATGTCATTGGGGAATTGAAGGCGGACGCAGAATTGTTTTGTTCAGGCAGTTAGCAAAACATGCTTCTTTCGTCGCGCCACCCCCATGGTGCCCGCTTCTGTTTGGATTCCCTGCAGGTCAATCAGAAGCGAATCCCAAATCCCATCCATTTACTCCCTTGGCCGAATTAGATCCAGTCCGCTTCAATCTGTTGACTTGGAAGTGAACGTTACCCTGTGCCAAACCAGCCTTTTTTGATCTTGCTCGCCTTGGGATGGCCGTAAAGTGAACCAGATGACTAAACCGCGGTGTCCCATTTTAAAGGAGGAGCAGTGGGAGAAACGCCGCCGTCGCGACCGGGAACAGTTGCTACGTCAGAGGGGATGGTATGCGGGTTTGCTGCGCGGAGGCAAAGAGGAAGGCTTCAGACAGATAGGATTGGCCAACCCAAACCGAGGTTGACGGCGGCTGTTTGCAAGTCTTGGACGCAATCATCGAAACCAGGTACTGAGGTACTGGAACAGGCACTGGTGCATCAAGAAGCTAGACCCATGCGCACCACCCCCAATTGGTTTTGGAGTTGTAGGATCAATCCTAAGAGGGTTTACAAGCCTGATCAGCAATCGCGCGAGTTTGGGCATGGGAATGAACTCCGGGAGTTGAAACATTTCCTGTTCCCCAAGCATTTCCAAAAGGGAAGTTCCTCACAGCCTTGCCGGAGGTGGCCGTGTCCAGGGCAAAGGTGCTCTTAGAGGACCGGTCGCTGCCTTCGGACCAGTCACCCCGAAAGACCCTCAATGTGGGACGGTTTGTCGGGTCCACGACATTTCCGCCGGCGCTTTCGTTTCGCCGAACTCTTTTGGGTATGGGGGCCGAAAGAGCTGCTTACCGGAGGCCACCAGATCAGAGGAGCCGCACGAAAAGCTGGTAGATGAAGGCTAGGCAAACCATCGGCCCAGCTGCTCCTTTGATTATTTGCAAGATTAGTCTAGACCTCTCCAACATCAGGCTTTGGTTGTAACTCACATGCCCTGGGAACTCTCCTCCAAAACCACGTAGCGACCCCTTGACCGATAAGCTTTACAAATAAATTGTGAGACGATCCTATGAGAGCTGTCAGAAAGAGGGCCTGTCCTTTTGTTGGACCATCTTGAGCCCTCAAGAGCCAGCCAGGCAGCATCCCCCCGGCTGGCTCGCATATAGATTACAGTTGCCCTCCAAACAAACAGATCCAGCTATCAAGTCAGTCTCAGAGTCTGACCTTGCAGGACAAGCTTCGTGCGCCCGGCAGTGCGGGGCCCTTAGGTCGTCACGATGTGTGCGCCTGGGCCATTCATTTGAGGTCAAACAAGATTTTGCAACCCTTGGCTGTTTATGCAAAAACCCGAGAACAGAACCAAACAGCATGTAAAAGGAAGTGCAACTGTTTGTATTTTGGCCCGGTTTCAGTGACGTCCACGCGAGTGTTCCGATGCCTTGAACAGCGGATAAGATATCACCAGCCGTGTCTCTAGACAGCAAGGCAAAAGCACACTCACCTCAAGCAAAAGGAATGGTGTGGAGATGAGAATGGGCCCCATAACAAGGCGGAAATTCCTGACAGAACGGGTGTCGAGAAGGAAGCTTTCATGGGTCAAACCTGCCGAAACTTGCCAGCTATTGACTTTCCACACACTGCCACGAGCTCCAGGCTGCCTAAATTGAAAGCCACCAAACCCAAATCAAAATCAGGATTTGCAGTGGCGGGGAACGGCCCTAAAAGCAGGCATCTCTATTGGAGGGTGTTCAAGGGAAGACTGTTGCCTACAAAGGTTGTGTGCCCCACTTCCTGCCTGGGTGGTCTTGGGGTAGACAGCATCTTAGATCCAACGAAGAGCTTCCTTGAGACCAGCTGATACCAAATCGAACCTCCAAAACGTACTGCCTGTGCAACAGAATCTTTTGCGTCCAAATAGCACAATCTTTGCACTAATTTTGGCAGTTTTTGCCCGACCCGCAGGGGATTTGATGAGCTCATGTGAAAGCGGGATGCAAACCAAAAGCCAAGGACTGCTTGGGGCACTTTGGGTACTCTGCGCCATCTCTCTCTTCTTTTTTTTTCTCTCTCTCCAGCTCAGGAGCGGCCTGTGATTGTGATTGCTGGCCGGTCCTTCAAAGACCGGGAGGTGGGGTGCGGTGGTAGCAGGGGCAGGGCGCCAGTTGCAAGCAGGGTTGGTGTGAAGCAGCATAGGTTTCAAGATGCAAGCTGGGTTGGTTTCAGGGTTGATGGGCCGCCTTTTGTGATTGCACATGGCAGCATGGGGATGAAGGATAGGGAGCCTATGTTTCAGGGTAGCCCCTTTTATCCAGGTAGCCTTTGCGTTTGCGTATCCCGGATTGATTTCCGTAACAGACACGTACCTGTTTTTGTTCACTTCCAGCCCCGGATCGCGAGGAGCTGGTCAGCCATATCCGGGCGCTCCAGGCACCGGGAAGCGGTCGGGACAGATCCTTCGGGCCTTGAAAGGCTCAGTTGGCACCCCAGGGTTACGAGGCTTGTGGGTCAAAGGCAGTTTCCTCGAGGGGTCAAAAGGAAGGCCTCCAGGATTTGTTCCACACGGAAGGTCAGCGACATGTCAAACAGAAGCGGGGAACCAAGCACTGCTGAGCTGGCTTGAGTGTTTTTACTTCAGCAATCGCGTCAGGATTGGGGACCTGACACGGGTGTGCGCCCTGCTTGAAATACGGGCAGCGGCGATTCTGTGCAGCATACCTCTCGTCATGGACGCTGATGGAGACTGGCATGACGAGTGCTCAGGCATTGCCTTTTGACCGACTCACCACTCATAATATCAGGGCAACAGCAACTCAACAGGGCTTGTCGTTATGCTTGAACTTCCATGAATGTGGGATCCGTTTAAATGATTGGCTTGTTTTTTTGTGGTCTGCATCAGTGGATTTTGTTCCCTTGCCGGGGTGTTTGGGGCGGTGGGTTTGAGCGTGCCGCTCAGGAGTCTGTCCAGACTACGGATGACTCGTTTGGAGCGTTTTGCTTGTATGAATCTCAGATTCCTAGGTGCGCTGGCTCCTAAAAGGCGTACGAGCGGGGCGCCAGCCCCGGGAGCCCTACAGTAGAAATTGCAAGCGAGGATTCACGTGGTTCAGACATTTCGGGGTGGCGTTCTTCATGTCCAGTTCCTTTCAAGGGTCAGTTTGACCAAAAGGGATACACCATACCAAGAAACAACTAGGAGTTTAAGTCAATCCTGGGTTCCCGCCGGCGTCCGGTTTGGTTGCGCAGGCAGCGACGCCCGATGGGAAGTTGCTCGGTCCTGAAGATGCACTTGGCTTAGTCTCGCGTGGTTTTCCGTAGAATCTAACAAATCTGAGTGTTGAAATCAGGAACGCACAAACCACCCGGCAAAGGCCCCCGATCGTTGAGGCAAAAGCTCCAGGCGTTTGAAGGGACCTAGGAAGCCAGCCTGGACGCACTTCTGTTTTCAAGGACCGTGCGACTGACCTTTACCGCCTTCTTTCAGCGAGTGGAACCAACCTGACAATTCTGAAGCTTGCAAATCAACCCGGTTTGGCGGAGTTCGGTTTGGTCGCGATTCAACGAGGGCAAAGTCTTTCGGGTCCAAAAACACTTTGACAAGACACAGTCAAGAGGCACGCCCTCAAGCCATAGCTTCTGGATCTCACAGCCAGCCGACGCCAGACGGCCATGGTCACTCTTCAGAAAACAACCGGGGCCGCATAAATTTTGCATGGTATCGATGGGGAGGTTCAGCCCAAACAAAGCCCTCCTTCAACCGTTTGTTCAAGGCTTTGGGCTTCAAACTTCTACCCAAATAGAACATGTGAACTGGCTTTGAGGTTTACAGGCAGGTTTCTCATTGCAGGCCCCCTACACTGACTGACGAAGCCGCAAATGAGCACGGAGCCCAAGGCATTTTTCGTGTTCCACTTGGCCACGCCTATGCCTTAGATTGCCGAAGAATGTGTTGAGTAGGGAGATCCACCGGAAAAGGACCCTTGTCCGCTTTCAGGAACGAGCAGTGTGGCTGCGCGAAGTGAATGCGTGTGGAACTTGAACTTTTAGGGCTGGAGTAGCTGGGCAGACTGGCTGGGCTGCATCAGGGGCTGGGCAATGGGGGCTGAGTATGGAGATTTGAGCTTGTCGTTGATGCTTCTTCGTGGGTGGTGCTGGCAAACTGCCTGCCCAGGAGAGATCGAGTTGAAGCGGAGTTGATTCTGCAACCTAGACATTTGGGGGATGGGTATCGGTATTTGTAGTCTAAAGAGGGCTCTAAGTGAAGCAAGCAACATAGCGTGCGTGTTACTGCGGGACATGACTGCACAACTGCAATTGTTTTTTGAGGCTCAATCAAAAGTGGAGCGCCCAAGGGGTGCCCTATTTCGTGCCTGACTCATAACGGGTATTTCAGCAACTACGGCTTGACCTCCTTACTGACGGCGGGCTTACATTTTGTTGCCCTTGAATAAGCAGCCGGGCAACCAAACATTTTTTGCTTGTGAAAGGGCTACTGAAGGTTGCATCCATTGGTATTGGGTCGCAAAGTGGATGCCAGAAGGAAACGACCGTGTGCCAGCTCCTTGTTTAATTGAAAAGGTAAATCGGTCGCCGGCTGGATTTGTAGAGTGTGGTGGATTCCTCTGTCCATTGGAGACGCTCCCGTTCCCAAGACAAAAGGAGTCAAATGCAAGCCTTGACCGGAGCGGTTCACCAGCGCCCGCAGGTTCCACCCCAACTTCATGGAGAAGATGACGGCGCCTGTCGTGGGCTTCAAGTACGGCCCCCACGAGGCAAGCGTCCCAAACCTTTGCCGGACGTGCATGTAACATTGTATGCCTGTCGTTGTTTGTGTTCACAGGCCTGCTTGTGTTTGGGTGTCTGTGTGTGTGGGTGTGGGTGTGGGTGTGTGTGTGTGGGTGTGTGGGTGTGGGTGTGCGCGCATGCATTTATTTGTGAACGTCTAATCATATTTCAGGAGCTACCGCATCAAACATCTTTCTAGGGGTGTTCTTGTTGGACTTACGTGTTGCAAGGACCTGAACGCAGGTTCTCCTGCCGGCGTATTTGGGATCATCCTGACAGCCTTGTTTTTAAAACGTTAGTAGAACCAAACTCGCTGGGCGTTCTATTGAAGACCGAACGCTTGGAGGACTAAGGCAAGTAGTGTCTGGAACTGCCGCAATTGGAATGGTGAAGGTTAGTTGCTTATGCGTGTACTGTTCACTTCAAAGGAGATGAAAAGACTGCGCGCATCACAGGGCCCACCCGGCAACGCGAAGTTTGCACCTATCTGGGATTCTGGCGGACTGTTAAAACTCTCACTCATTTTTTTATTGAGCCCCCGCGTGGAAATTGTGTATGTGTATGTGCCAATCATGTACACCACTCCCCCTGGGAGTAGTAGTTGAGGGCTAGTGGACACTACCTTCAAGCATTAGGGGCTCCCT